ATCTCCAAGGAAGAAACAAGTCATATGTCAAATTAAAAAATTTTCATCTTTATTCCTATTTTTCCAGAATGTTGAAAGTCTATGAGGTAATGGCTTAAGAAGCATGTTAAGGCCATCAAATTAAAAAGAAAATTACATTTAACAAATATGAATGGATTTCAGAGCTAAAAAAAAAAATCCAACAAAACAATTCCTAGCAGCCACAAAGTAATTAAGCAGAGTTAGAGGATTAAGTGCACGCATGTGCGAGCATGCGCGCGCGCGCGCACACACACACACACACAGAGTCACGTTTGCATATTAAGACTATACCAGAAATGTTTAAGATACAGATACCAGTCACTGTAGCAATCGACCAAGTTTTTGAAGTTAACTTAGGATAAACCAAGAACAGCACAGCCACAATCATAACTTTCTTTGGAAGAACAAGAAGGAAAGATCTTCAGGCCCTGTGTCACATGACACTCTGGAGTAAGCACCACATTTTCCAAAGAATTAAAACTATGTGCCCAACACTAAACTAGGCTAAAGCTCTTCCATGCCACACATGCAGCGTGATTCTTCTCTGTCACTGGCTTTAGGTGGCTGGGCGCTGCTGAGCTGGGATGCAGCCCAGGGTCCTGCACGTGGCCAATATGTCTGCACTGAGTCACAGCCCTGGGCTCCAGCATCAGTGTCCATCAGTGTCCCAGCTGTGCCCACCCATTTTTTTTTTTGAGAGAGGAGAGGGAGGGAGAGAGAGAGAATTTTTAAAATATTTATTTTTTTAGTTTTTCGGCGGATACAACATCTTTGTACGTAGTGCTGAGAATCGAACCTGGGCCGCACGCATGCCAGGCGAGCACGCTACCGCTTGAGCCACATCCCTAGCCCTGCCCACCCACTTTGGGTGATCAAATAGTGGCTAGATATTTGGACAAACACTCATCTGGGTACATCTGGAAAAACAAAATACAGGCTTTATTTTTAGGACAATATTGTAGATGATATAAAGTGACCACTTTGCTGCTTCCTAAACCTTACAAATTTGCCTAGATAAACTCTCTGGGCTAGATTGGCATTGCTCATGGACAAAGGCTTCTTTTTCATATTTCCTATGATGCCTAACTTAGTGCTAAGAACACACGCTTTAAATCACAGGTTGTCTGACTTGAAGCTCTGCTGATGACCTACCGAGGACTTTGTGGGTGAAAACCCAGCGTATGGTAATAAACCGACTCTCAGAAACTGCCAGGTTGAGTTCCTGCACGGAGCCCCATCAGCCCCTTCAGGAGGTTCTCCATAACAGTGTGAGTTTGTCCTTATCTCTGTGTCTTGCCAACAGATTGGCCTTCTGGAGTCAGGAGGGTAATGTTTGTTCTGAGCGTACTCAGCCAGTGCCACAGTCCTCGTAACTACTTGCCCCCGTGTACTTGCTATGGCCAGCAACACCCTAGTGATCACCATGCCCATAGAAGGAAAGGGTCATCCCATCTCACAGATGAGAAAACTGAGGGTCAGAGTAGCTTCCAGGGCACCTGGGTAATAAGGGAGAGGGACAGACAGGACAGGGTGCCTCCTCTGTCCACAGCCAAGCTTCTTTCCTCTTTGGTGGGGGCAGGGGGGGGTAGGTCTTGTCACAGCACATCCCGAGCTCCAGCTCCCGGCCAGTCCAGGGAGCTGCTGGCAGACCTGCTCTAGGGTACACCAGTGTTTCCGCTTTGCACCCGAAACTCCCTTTCCTTCCAGGTAAAGTGGCTGTACAATGTGTCCAGAAAGCAAAGCCAACAGGAAAGTGCCCCTCAGGGCTCCTGGACCGGGGCCCTCATCAGGATGACCCATGAGCAGGTGCCCACACCGGGGCAGCAGGGCCTGGCCCTCGGCCTCTCACCTCTCACCTCGATTTGGAGGAGCTGCACGGGTGTCTGTTACGCAATGCAATGCAGGAGACACAGCTGTTGATCCAACAGGACACTTCCTCGTCTCGGGTGACCTAGGGAGAAGGCCAAGGGGATGACCCCCTCACCCTTCCCTCAGAACCTGGCTTAGTCCTCAACCTAACCACGACTCGGAGGCTCGGGCTACCAGGTAAGGAGGTCGAGGCCAGAGCAACAAACACAGAATGGAGCTCTAGGTCCAGCCCCGACTCTGCTAAAGTACTGCTGCCCACCAGGTGAAGCCCTTCCAGAGTAGGGGACCCTGGACTCCACCTGCAGGGCCCGCCTTCTCCCCCAGAGCCAAAAGTCACTGTTGCCACCCCTGGGCTTCCAGGGTCTGTCCTCAGAGGCCAGGCCTGCCTGCCAGGCCATTTCCTACCTTCCTACAGCACCTAGCCCAGATAGGGACAAAGTCAGAGACAGGCAGGCCCCACCCCCTGGTGGCCAAGGGCACACCTGTGGCCTAGTTAGCTGGGGCCCAGTATTGCCTCCTTGTGACACTCACACTCCAGGGACAGCACAGCTGAGGAACTCATGTCCCTATTGTCTTTGCCCATCTGACAAGTGCTGGCCACCACATGTGGTCCTCCCTGCCTTCCCTGCCCTGGGGATGACCATGCTGATGAAGTAAAAGGACACACAATCCTCGCTCTTCTTCCCTGTAATCCTTCCTACCCAAGAACTGGCTCACTGCTGGAGAACAGGCCCCAGGAGAACAGACAATGCCACTGAGGACATGAAAATGAAATCCCGCATTCTTGCCAAGGCTGGCGGAGTGGTTTAAGGGTCAGATTAGACGAGACCAGGACTCTCCTGTGTGTGACGCACAAAGGGGTTAAATGAGCTTCACGCACACCAAACCCGCCTAACAGGCACCCACGGGCACTGACGCTATTCCAGCTAAAGATCCACCGTGCCACACCACCAGACAAACAGGCAACACACTGGCCCAGCTGCCTTCTGGCTACTGAAAATACAGGGCAGTCGATATCACTGGCCATTATTACAACGCCTAACAGAGCCGCTATTTCCACCACAGCCCTGTGTTTTAGTTTGTCAAAATGAAAATAGAACCACCGAGACTCGAACGCAGCTCAGTGGTGGAGCATGTGCAGGGCCAGAGGCTCAATCCCAGTGCCACCAAAACCAACACCCAGGACAATGGGAATCCTGCGTCTGCCCAACACCATGAGAACAGCCACTCCCTGGTTCCTGGGAGAGCAGCTCCTGACAGTCCCAGGAACCAGGGGGGGAAACAGCTCACACAAGGGAAAATAAGTAACAGGTCATCTCAAGGGAAAAGGAAAAATAATAAGGAAACCATTTCAGGAAATAGGTTGTTTCGGGGAAATCAAGAGGGTAACAGAAGCCAGGCTTCGTGGAAAGCTCTTCAAAACCGTGTGAAGGCCCATCTCCTGGGTGAGGGGCAGAAGGAAGCCTGCATTTTCCCTGAGGGAAGCAGGGAGTCGCCAACTTATTAAAATGTGACATTCAGTGACGAGACACAGAGTGACAGAAGATGTGAGTGGACTCCAGCAAGGCAGGCCTGCCCCTGGTCTAAGCTTTTTTTCATGTGCCACGCTGTGTGCTGGCCTCCCTCTGAAGGTGCCGGGGAAGGAGGGCCCAGGTCAAGGTGTGCATAGGAGAAAAATACAGTTATCCCACAGTATCCTCATGGGTTGGTCTAGGTCCCCAGAGACCAAAATCCAAGGACACCCAAGTCCTTTGTATGAAAGGACACCATAGCTGTCCATCCTTTGATTACACCTTAAATCATCTCTAGATCACTTACCATGCCTAATACACTGTGAATTCTATGTTGATATTTGTTATCCTGCAACGTTTAAGGGATGATTACAAGGAAATCTGTGCATGTTCAGTCCAGATGCAATTTTAAATACCGTTTTTAGTTGTAGTTGGACACAATATCTTTATTTTAAGTATTTTTATGTGATGCTGAGGATCGATCCCAGGGCCTCATAAGTGTGAGACAAGCGCTCCACCACTGAGCTACAGCCCCAGCTCCCAGATGCAATTATTAAAATACTTTTTTCTGTCATTAGACCTTAGGATGTGGCACCCACTGGTGGGTGTGGAGGGCTGCCTGTATTTGGTGTCCCTTGTGATAAGGGAGCAGCCCAAGCTGGGTAAGATGTCACCCAGGATCACTTGGGATGCAATGTGGCTGGGGCAACACCACATCTCAGGGTTATGTGGAGAGGAAGGACCCACATGGGAGAACAGACCAGACAGAGCCAACAGGGCTGCAGGGGTGAGCAGGGATGCCAACCAAGGAGGGAAGCGGTGAGGGCCAGTGCACTCACATAGGGAAGACAGGGCTCAGACAGCTCCTGGGAGGTGTCTGTGTGCCCTGGGGACAGTGTCCAAGGCGCTAGTGGCAGTGGAGCAAGTGTCGGGATGGTGAGCTGCCACCAGGCTCGCCAGGCTCGGATCACGCACAGATCAGAACACGCCTGCCCAGCTCCTTCCCATGGACTCACCCTGG